GCTGACTGTCAGTGAGTGCAGTTAAACTGCCGACAGAGCTGTAATCACATGCTGCTGCGAGGGGTTGAGCGCAGGTCTCAGGAGTGGGTTACAGGTAAAGCGTGTGACCGGTCAGGACATGTTTCTGGAAGAGTACGAGCACTTGGCCAAGTCACACATTAGAGACGTTGACTGGGAAACTACAGGGACTGTATACGCCAATAACAAAAGAAAATGATGGAACAAGTGATTATGGAAGGTGCAGACTATAAGCAGAAACAATGAATTCATTCTCTTTTCATAATTTGGCTGGAGAGCAAAAACACACACATTTATTCTGTATAAACACATAATATGTATAAACATAATATAATTTTACTAAATTATGAACTGTGATGTTAGAGAAACATATCAAAATGAACGGTGTGCATCGAAAACTTTCAAACTTTACAAAAATAAAATAAAAAAGGGCCAAGGACCACAACAGGAAGTAAACGAGACATTAATAGTGAAGAAGAGGTCCTTACGTCCTATTGTTCGTTATGCAGATAATGTTTAATTTAATGCTTAAAGGGGTCATATGATGTTGCTAAAAATAACATTATTTGGTGTATAATCTTATTAAGCCTCGGAAATTTCTACAGAAGTTGGTCTTTGTCAGTGCAATGTAAAATAAATGTTAAAAAAGTCATGGAATTTAATTATTCAAAGGTTATAGAAACACATTGTTTTAATCTCTTATATTCTTGTTATTTACACTACTTTGTTCTCAATAGTTGACTATCATCCTCAAACAGGCCAATGCTGTTGGTGTCAATGTCAGAACACAAAAAGGAGCCTGAGATGCTCCTGGAATATTTAGTTACTGTCACACCAGGACAATCACTAGATACTTACACTGCTGGCTATTCGTAGATAATGTTATATTCTCAGATTCATGATCTGTTTTCTTTGTTTCTAATATAAGAGGCTTGGTAACACAAGAATAGATTATCAATGTTACTTTTAGTTTTTAGCTCATCTTTAGCAATTCACATTATTGTTGCCGTTAAACAATAATATGACTATCCAGCTATGAAAACAACCCATGCAGCAACATTACTTAAGTTGAATGATTCTGCTGAATTTATTATAATAAAGTTTTAAATTATACATTTATTACTAAATTAAATATTATTATTACAAGTATTTATTAGAATTATTGGTAAGACTTTATTTTAAGGTGTCCTTGTTACATGTTACAAGTCCTTACTATTATAATAATAATAAATTATGCATAATTACATGCAAGTAACCCTAACCTAACCTAACCTGAAGTATATTAATATTACTCAGTACTTAAATGTATAATTTCACTGTGACTAGGACACCTAAAAATAAAGTGTAACCGAACTATTTATTATATTTATAAATTATACATTTATTCAGATAAAATCATATCACTGGAATGTTTATAAATGATACATTTTTTATAAATGTATTATTCAATTTCTTGTAATTTATTAGAATTATTCGTCATTTTTATAAATTATACATTTATAATAATAAATTCAACAGAATCGATCAGCTAAATTCATGTCACTGTGTTGTTCCCATAGCTGCATAACATAATTTATTGCATTTTTAATATTCATATATGCAGCCAGGCAGATTAGCCTAGATGATCCTGCAATTTGACATTAACAAATGAATTTTTGCTAATCTGCTGCATGAAAACAGAAAGGGTATTGAAAATGTATTTTTTATTCCTTGGAACCATCAACACATAATTTAATTAAGAATTAGGGTATAAATAACTTACGTTTAAAATTAAACCCAAATCAAATGAAACTACAAATGTGATCTTGTTTGTTGGATATATTTACTACATTCTGCTTCTGTTGCTCTTCCTGTTAATCCCATGATGCCCTCTGGTGGATATATTATGCTAGAGGCACAAATAACAAGTAATCAAATGCATACATCAAATTAAATATAAAATAGCAAATTTTATTGATTGATTGATAATCAAGAAAAATGTCAGATGTTAAGGGTTTGTGAAAGTAACATTCTAAAAGTATCTCACTCTTACATGCCATTTTTGTTACATGTATTCATTCAAAATTAAAAAATAGAACAGCTTTCAGTCAGAAAGAACAAAATAATGAGAACAAACGCGAAAGGGAAGGAATTTTACTATTTTTTTTTCCCACTAACCCAAAGATGTCAAGATACGGTCCAAATCCATTTTGAAACTTTTAAGGGTATGATTTTCCCACTGAACTGTACTCGACCTGACAGACCCATGCACTAAAATGACCTAAAATGACTAAAATGATTTATATTTTTGTTTTAACTTTTTGTTGTTGCAGTTATTTTATTATTGCATTACGATGTAAAAAAAAACATACTTACACTGCTGGCTATTCGTAGATAATGTTATATTCTCAGATTCATGATCTGTTTTCTTTGTTTCTAATATAAGAGGCTTGGTAACACAAGAATAGATTATCAATGTTACTTTTCGTTTTTAGCTCATCTTTAGCCATTCATATTATTGTTGCCGTTAAACAATAATATGACTATCCAGCTATGAAAACAACCCATGCAGCAACATTACTTAAGTTGAATGATTCTGCTGAATTTATTATAATAAAGTTTTAAATTATACATTTATTACTAAATTAAATATTATTATTACAAGTATTTATTAGAATTATTGGTAAGACTTTATTTTAAGGTGTCCTTGTTACATGTTACAAGTCCTTACTATTATAATAATAATAAATTATGCATAATTACATGCAAGTAACCCTAACCTAACCTAACCTGAAGTATATTAATATTACTCAGTACTTAAATGTATAATTTCACTGTGACTAGGACACCTAAAAATAAAGTGTAACCGAACTATTTATTATATTTATAAATTATACATTTATTCAGATAAAATCATATCACTGGAATGTTTATAAATGATACATTTTTTATAAATGTATTATTCAATTTCTTGTAATTTATTAGAATTATTCGTCATTTTTATAAATTATACATTTATAATAATAAATTCAACAGAATCGATCAGCTAAATTCATGTCACTGTGTTGTTCCCATAGCTGCATAACATAATTTATTGCATTTTTAATATTCATATATGCAGCCAGGCAGATTAGCCTAGATGATCCTGCAATTTGACATTAACAAATGAATTTTTGCTAATCTGCTGCATGAAAACAGAAAGGGAATTGAAAATGTATTTTTTATTCCTTGGAACCATCAACACAATTTAATTAAGAATTAGGGTATAAATAACTTACGTTTAAAATTAAACCCAAATCAAATGAAACTACAAATGTGATCTTGTTTGTTGGATATATTTACTACATTCTGCTTCTGTTGCTCTTCCTGTTAATCCCATGATGCCCTCTGGTGGATATATTATGCTAGAGGCACAAATAACAAGTAATCAAATGCATACATCAAATTAAATATAAAATAGCAAATTTTATTGATTGATTGATAATCAAGAAAAATGTCAGATGTTAAGGGTTTGTGAAAGTAACATTCTAAAAGTATCTCACTCTTACATGCCATTTTTGTTACATGTATTCATTCAAAATTAAAAAATAGAACAGCTTTCAGTCAGAAAGAACAAAATAATGAGGACAAACGCGAAAGGGAAGGAAATGAACAACGTTATCACACATGACTTCCTCTCATCAAATTAGCCTGGCAGGAGAAGACAGAACATACATAGATGAACACATCTACAGCTCACCGCTCTCGATCCCAGCTACTGTGTGCTATGATTATACCGGAGTCTGAACCATCTTTATCTAACTTGCATTGCAGGAAAAACTAAATTACTGATTGATAGAACTGCTCATTGTAGTTGGGAATACAGAACAAAGCATATTACTACAAAGCATCTGCGGGAATACTGAGCTGCTACAGGGGTCAATGTGCACAAACATGATCTGAATGGAAGGAGGAAACCAACCTCAGCATAAATGTCAGTATCACAATTTAACACCACACTTAGATAAGCCACTAGCAAGTGTTGTAGTCTGATAAAGTAAGAAACTCAACTCTTTGGCCACAGTCACCAAAGGTATGTTTTAAGAATACAGAAAAGCATGAGGAAAAAAATAACTGTCAAGTCTGATGGATGTATTAAGCTCTGGGGTTGCAGACAGTAGTGCAGGTCATTCTCAGCTGTTAAGGGAAAGAATGTGTTCTGAAAGTTATAATGTTTCACATCATAAATAATGAAAAACATTGATCTAAAACAAAGACCATTCAACTTAACCTCAGAAGATTCAAGTTTTGAATGTTTCACTCAGTCTTCAAACTAACTGAAATATTACTGTACATGCAGTGTGACTAGTGAATATGCCTAAATTAAAGAAAGCAAACCTAAACTCAATGAAAATCTGTGAAAATTAAGCAAATGTTAGCCATTGTTCGTAGATTCAGCCCCTTCACTCAGAAATGCACAGCTGTGGGAAGAAATGAGCAAAGATACAGTGTTTTGTGTTCAAGCTTCTTGGTGGAAAACACCAACAGAAAAGCACAGCTTTACCTGCTGAGAGAAGGGAGGAACATGAGTCAGAGGATGACAGTGAAAGTGATGATGAGTACTATGTGCAAGTTGGACCCTACCAGTTTAGAACACAGCCAAATAGTCATAATCAGATGGAAAAGGAAATCACCACACCTGTTACCTACTGGTGAGAAATCATCAGCTCACTCAGAACCATGTATATATTTAAGAAAAATGTTACGTTTATATACTAAATATATTTATATATAATATAAATTATATGAATAAAAATATATACATGTAAATATTTGTAAAATATATATGTGTATTTATGTACATAATAAATATACACAGTACACACACATGTATTATATAAACAAACTTTTATTTTGGATGCAATTAATCGTTGCCTAGCACTATTAATAATATTGTACATGCATACATTATTAATAAGCTGTCCTGTTACAATGAATCAAAATGATTAACACAATCAGATTTTTCACTGTGACTGGCACAAGATGCTAATCAACACTACTAGGAAGTTCTTAATGGTAAAGAAGACCAGCATTTGATGAAAGTCAGAGAAAGAAATCATAACTGCAAGTCGGACAACAAAGAAGGGGCCATCTTGAAGAAAAATGGTTCCCGCAATGTCCCACATATCTGTCCTGAACTTGGCAATGAGAGAGTCATCCTGGCTTTCACAGAAATCCTCAGGTTTGGTGTTCACCACTGAGAGATGCCAATGAAAAACAGGAAAGAACTTTATAAGAATGACCACAATTATATTGGTGTTCTTGGTTATGGTTATGCATACTTCAGGTTCTGCATCTATAATTAATGTCGTAATTGACTTCATATTTTTGTGTATGAAACAACACTTATGGAAGAGTACAGACCTGAGAAATGCAAAGGAAACTGTAGCATGCTCAATGTCCAGACCGCAAGAATAATGCACACAAACGGTGTACTGTCCTCCCTATAACAAGGAACAGAATATAAGGAAATATGATATATTGTAATACTACACAGAAACTTTATTTCACCTAAATTTGGAAGTAAACAGAAAGGTTTAGCAACTATAAAGTCTGACATGTGAAGTAGTAGTCAGAAAAATCGATTGTTTTATTTATTTAATGAAACTGTTTAGACAAAATCTTAAAAAATGACATTTGTGATTTTTGTTTGACGACCATATGGAGCTCATACTTGAGGACAAAAAACACCTCAATTTTATTCAGAGACCCAAGCTGAGCAAAAATATGCAATTTGGTGCCGTTGCTGATATTAATGTGGCCGAAAGGAAAGATGAACTTCTGATAGCTGTAAATCAGTGAGATCCTTATGAGAGTAAAGCAGAATACTTACATAACACTATATTTCCCAATAATTTGTCTTATTAAAGGTGGGGTAAGTGATTTCTGGTAGCCAATGTTGACATTTGAAATCACCAA